GTTTTCAAACCATGAGACCATGAAAACAATTTGAGTAATACATTTTGACCATGTACTGCTTATTTTGCGGCACTCAAAAATTTAGAAATTTCGAATATCTGTTTTCAAACCATGAGACCATGAAAACAATTTGAGTAATTCATTTTGACCATGTACTGCTTATTTTGCGGCACTCAAAAATTTAGAAATTTCGAATATCTGTTTTCAAACCATAAGACCATGAAAACAATTTGAGTAATACATTTTGACCATTTACAGCTTATTTTGCGGCACTCAAAAATTTAGAAATTTCGAATATCTGTTTTCAAACCCTGAGACCAAGAAAACAATTTGAGTAATACATTTTGACCATGTACTGCTTATTTTGCGTCACTCAAAAATTTAGAAATTTCGAATATCTTTTTTCAAACCATGAGACCATGAAAACAATTTGAGTAATTAATTTTGAACATGTACTGCTTATTTTGCGGCACTCAAAAATTTAGAAATTTCGAATATCTGTTTTCAAACCATGAGACCATGAATACAATTTGAGTAATACATTTTGACCATGTACTGCTTATTTTACGGCACTCAAAAGTTTAGAAATTTCGAATATCTGTTTTCAAACCATGAGACTATGAAAACAATTTGAGTAATACATTTTGACCATGTACTGCTTATTTTGCGGCACTCAACAATTTAGAAATTTCGAATATCTGTTTTCAAACCATGAGACCATGAAAACAATTTGAGTAATACATTTTGACCATGTACTGCTTATTTTGCGGCACTCAAAAATTTAGAAATTTCGAATATCTGTTTTCAAACCATGAGACCATGAAAACAATTTGAGTAATTCATTTTGACCATGTACTGCTTATTTTGCGGCACTCAAAAATTTAGAAATTTCGAATATCTGTTTTCAAACCATAAGACCATGAAAACAATTTGAGTAATACATTTTGACCATTTACAGCTTATTTTGCGGCACTCAAAAATTTAGAAATTTCGAATATCTGTTTTCAAACCATGAGACCATGAAAACAATTTGAGTAATACATTTTGACCATGTACTGCTTATTTTGCGTCACTCAAAAATTTAGAAATTTCGAATATCTGTTTTCAAACCATGAGACCATGAAAACAATTTGAGTAATTAATTTTGACCATGTACTGCTTATTTTGCGGCACTCAAAAATTTAGAAATTTCGAATATCTGTTTTCAAACCATGAGACCATGAATACAATTTGAGTAATACATTTTGACCATGTACTGCTTATTTTGCGGCACTCAAAAGTTTAGAAACTTCGAATATCTGTTTTCAAACCATGAGACTATGAAAACAATTTGAGTAAAACATTTTGACCATGTACTGCTTATTTTGCGGCACTCAACAATTTAGAAATTTCGAATATCTGTTTTCAAACCATGAGACCATGAAAACAATTTGAGTAATACATTTTGACCATGTACTGCTTATTTTGCGTCACTCAAAAATTTAGAAATTTCGAATATCTGTTTTCAAACCATGAGACCATGAAAACAATTTGAGTAATTAATTTTGACCATGTACTGCTTATTTTGCGGCACTCAAAAATTTAGAAATTTCGAATATCTGTTTTCAAACCATGAGACCATGAATACAATTTGAGTAATACATTTTGACCATGTACTGCTTATTTTGCGGCACTCAACAATTTAGAAATTTCGAATATCTGTTTTCAAACCATGAGACTATGAAAACAATTTGAGTAATACATTTTGACCATGTACTGCTTATTTTGCGGCACTCAACAATTTAGAAATTTCGAATATCTGTTTTCAAACCATGAGACCATGAAAACAATTTGAGTAATACATTTTGACCATGTACTGCTTATTTTGCGGCACTCAAAAATTTAGAAATTTCTAATATCTATTTTCAAACCATGAGACCATGAAAACAATTTGAGTAATTCATTTTGACCATGTACTGCTTATTTTGCGGCACTCAAAAATTTAGAAATTTCGAATACCTGTTTTCAAACCATAAGACCATGAAAACAATTTGAGAAATACATTTTGACCATTTACAGCTTATTTTGCGGCACTCAAAAATTTAGAAATTTCGAATATCTGTTTTCAAACCATGAGACCATGAAAACAATTTGAGTAATACATTTTGACCATGTACTGCTTATTTTGCGTCACTCAAAAATTTAGAAATTTCGAATATCTGTTTTCAAACCATGAGACCATGAAAACAATTTGAGTAATTAATTTTGACCATGTACTGCTTATTTTGCGGCACTCAAAAATTTAGAAATTTTGAATATCCGTTTTCAAACCATGAGACCATGAATACAATTTGAGTAATACATTTTGACCATGTACTGCTTATTTTGCGGCACTCAAAAGTTTAGAAACTTCAAATATCTGTTTTCAAACCATGAGACTATGAAAACAATTTGAGTAATACATTTTGACCATGTACTGCTTATTTTGCGGCACTCAACAATTTCGAAATTTCGAATATCTGTTTTCAAACCATGAGACCATGAAAACAATTTGAGTAATACTTTTTGACCACGTACAAGTTTTGATGTTTGAGTAAATATATGTATCAGCTAACCGAAACGAAGCTGAAAAGATTGGTGAAGCGGGTTACTCAATTACGAAAACTTAAGTTTCAATGTCAAAATTTTCACATTACTTAAAATAGGACAAAATGATGTAAAAAATCTTCCTTTGATTCAACCGCTATTTAACAGAACTGCTATTTGAACTGCTAATAATTCTCAAAAATTTAAGTGTTGTTGAAATAACCCATTTGAGAACACTGGATCAATAGCTAGTTTTTCTGCAATCTAAATACTTATATCCACTGTTAAAACAAAATAGATTTTTATAATTTCTAAGCACCTCTTCGACTTACCATGCTTTTATAGTCACAGGGTACAGAAGCTGAACTTCTGGTTTTCAAGCAATGAAATAGACAAAAAAATTAGTTTCTGATGTTTTCTCTAAGACTACTAGAGGTTCACGTCGTTGTTGTTTTCAAGTCGTTGTTGAACCATTCAATCAGAGGGCTTCAAAGATGTGTCTTAGCGCCAAAAATTTTTATAAACAGCAGAAGTAGTGTGCAATTTTGGACTTGGTTGGATAGCTCAGGATCTAATCTAAGCCCTCATATAGTTTGCAAATCAGAGAAAACAGAATTTTAAAGTTTGCTAAGCTCTTAGACAGAAGTTAACTGAAAACTCAGTTATTTTTTTTAGTAAAATGCCCAAGTTTGAATTAAAGAGTATCGGAGGATAAAATGAATTTAGTTTTAAGTACCGCATTATTAAGATCACATGTCATGTTTTCGCACATTGTTTTTAAAGCATTTACAATTTCAATTATCGTTTATGAGACAGTTTATATAAAATTAATCCAATTAGATAGTGGCCAATTATTTTAAGAGAAAGCAATTGATATTTTGAGGATCTTCTTCCGCTTGGTGCTCATTCTGCACACAGGAAAAACATTTCCTACGCTCGAGACCAGATATACTCTGAATATCTGCGAACCATCATTCTTCTAGAAAACCCCGAACTTGCTAAGGATCGCCTCATCATTCGCAATCAAAACTACCTGCGCCGTCTCATTCAATAGTGCAGGTCTATGGACAGGAGGCATTGCCAAAATAAACAAGCCAAGAAAAGGTCTCATCAACACTAGGCTTAGGTGAGCATCGCTATCCCCCTTCAACTCAGGTCCATGCCCCTCGAAGGTAGTAAGGTTGGAAGGGAGATTCCAGGTCAGGTTGACTCAGTAGGGCTTTGCTCCTCGTAGGCTCTACCTGACCTTAGGTCATTTGTGGCCAAGGGATCAGGTAAACTCGGGAGGCCATAGCGAGTCGTTTGCAGAATCACGATTTCATTCTACCATTACCGCTGTTCGAACACTTTTGGACGAAGCACGATTTGCTAGTTGCCTTCAGACACTTTGAAATACAGCAGTTGCAGACACAGAACAACCTTCTGAGATTAAGCTTCTAAATAGTCCACGCAACGAGCTAATTCCAAATTTCTAAGCAACAACAGGAACTTGGGATTAGCTCCAAGTTTCCAAATTTCTAAGAGCTCACTATCGAGAAGTTAAGCAACAACCTTATAGCGTTCCTTGATATGTCAAAAGAACTTAAGAATGGTACCCTGTAGGCAACTTGCCAACAGAGAGCAACATACAAGTGTTTGTTCCGATCTTTGCCTCTCCTACAATACGAAAGACATTAGAGACGTATCCGGGTTGATGAATGGCTGTCCAAAGAAATGCAAATGTGGGATGAAAATCAGTACCCGCCACGTTTCTACCATTCTCTTGTGCGGCAGTAATTGGACAAGTTGTTGCACATCATCATCATCATTCTTCCTTTATTTAGCCAGCTCCTTTTGTTCTGCACGGAAACGATGGCATGCAAACTAAGCAATCTTTCGTGATGCAATATAGAAAAACAACACCGGCTAGTGGGCCAAAAAGATGAAGTCAGTTGTCGTCAACTAATTTTCACAAGGAAGATGAAAACAGCACTGCCGTCTTTTAAATGCCGAAGACCGTCTTAAGCCTTGTTGTATACCATATCAAGTAACCTGGATGCCAGTCAAGCTACCTGGGGCAAATCACCCACAACCTTGCTACGAGGCTTAATGAGCAGTCCCGCTCCACCATCTGAAAATAACAGCAAGCGGCGAAAACGTTTAATAAAAAATAATTTACAATTATTCTCCTCCCATTTCTTTCATCTCGGCACTGACGTCATATAAATCTCGGGACTGACGTCATATAAATTACAATTTGCTATTGTAATTGATTAGCAAATGAATATAAAAAAACGCGACCTAAATAAGTGTCTTCACTTCTTTCATTGAAATTTAATAGTATTTTTTCAATTAAGTTCTAACTAAATTTTGTTCAGTACGGTAGCACTTCACGAGTAACTCAAGCTAACCTATTCGAGCAAGCAGAACATTTCTCAATCTGAAGCTTATAAAACGCCATTTGAAATATTTAAACTTTCAATAATCCGAGGTGACCAGCCTTCATTCAATGTGACAGTTAGTTTGAAATTCCTCATAGACAATTAATATATTAGTTCTGCAAAAATAGTGAAATTGATTACAAAAGATAAAATTCAACATCAAGGTTAATTAGGTTCAGCATGAGAGAAACAACCACAAGAGTTTCAGCATCAATGTTTCATTTCAATATATATATTTATATGATTTGTGATGCTGAAATTTGGATGAAATTACAGTTCATATTTGACACCGGAAAACAAATTTAATGTGCAAAACTACAATTGTATCTAACTTCAAGCAAATAGATCAAGAAAAGGGTTTCGGTTTTCAAAACCAGGGGCGGATTCAGAATGATAGCGCTGAGAAGCGGATTCTCAAAAGTATTTATTCAGCGCAATTTTTTAATTTTAAGTCATTTAAAACACCTCTGTTACTGTATACGACAATATTAGCCGACACATTGAGTCGCCTAAAGCAAAGCTCAGGGACGCGACGTTTGATGGCTTCCAACAATTTCCCCTTTCAAATCCGCCTCCATTCAATTTTCAAGAAACCCCTCAATAATTTAATTAAATCCCACAAAAGTTTATTTTCACCATTAATAAACATTCTGATTAAGTTTCAGTCTTCCTCATCCCAAAGAAACGGATTAACTGCCAAAATTCTGCAAAAGGAAGCTTTCAACCAAGATTTAATGATGAACTCTGATTGGTCTGTTTTACGTCGTTTTTCTACTTTTCGGCTCCTTTTAGCATCATCTCATCAAGATGCTTCTGGATATTATCGAATCTGTAATAAAAAGCATTTCGAACCAAGTAGCATAAGTAAATTCACCTCGATAGAATCGTCCCTATTTATTGAAGCTTTACCAAAAAAAAGAATCCTTGGCTCTTTTCCACTTCACCCACCTTTCAATTTTACGTGCGATTATGGCTATACGCGTGATGTTACGTAGTAAAGCATGAATCACAAATGTGTTCACAATTGTTCATTTGTTCACCATGCCAATTTTTATTGCATTATGCTAATGTTAAAATGGCTTTTGAAATGGAATTTGAAAAGTGGGGCGGGGGAGTTGAAAAGAGCCGAATCCATCAGGACATGATTTTATATATTATCTTATTATCAAAGATTCTTGTTCTGTGACATCAGCAGTGCTCAAAAAATTGATTAATAGATCGTTTTCACAGAGAATACATTGAAAAGTTAAGCAAAAGCTAAAGTGAGTCAGTCCTCTGCCTACAAGTGGAAATAAATCGTGCTCCTCATAAAACACTTTTAAAATCCATCGTATATTGTTTTATAAGTTATAACAACAAGATGAAAACACAGAGGCGAAGCTGTGCTTCGCAAACACTTGCGAGAAAACGACAAACACAGCCAAGAGAAAACGAAAAAAGTCAATAAACGCAAGTTAACAGATAAAAATATATTGACTTATTTTTCGAAAAAGCAACATAATTTTTAAAGAAAAATAGAGGCCCTTAAGGCTCTTTGAATTTCAAGAAAAAATATTTTTGACACTTTTTTGATTAACTTAACCCAATTTGAGAACACTCGATCAATAGGTAATTTTTTTTCCGCTGGAAAATCTGAAAACTCAATTCCACTTTCAAAACTAGAAGACGATCACGTTTTTCGAGGCTTTCACACTTTCGCTGTTCGATAGTGGAGTTTGCCTTCCTTTCAACTAAAGAAATGAACTGCACTTAAAAAGAAATCATAAGTCGAACCGCGAAAAACAAATTTGAGACTGAGATTCGGAATACTTATCTTATTTGAAACGGTTGCAACAAATTTTTACTGCCCAACTTTTTTTCAGCGTTAATTTAAGGGTTTAATATTTCATTGAATAAAACAGCGAATAGTTCAAATGGCTCATAAAGAGTGCATTCATTAGGGGCAATCTCATTTTTAATGATGCTCTTTTCATGGATTGCAAAAATTTAATAATATGCCTTTTTCTTAGAATGCAATTTAATTCTTTACACAGAGGCAAAGCTTCCCTTCTCAAACACTAGCGAGAACACGACAAAAATCAGCTCTATAAAGAGCAATAAGAAAAAGTAGAAATAAACCTGCAATTAAGAAAAATTTGGCTAGGCCTCAGATTCGATCTGCGACCTACTGCAACCTATAGATTATTCTTCTCACTCAGCCACACACGCTTAATACATTACAAACACTAGCCACAAGCAAAGCAGAGCACAAATGCTATGAAATTTCCAATCCTGGATCGTGATTATGACAAAAGTGCAACCAAATAAGTGAACACTTTTCACTTTCAATGAACACTTTTATTTGCGAGTTAGATTAGAAAAAAAGTAAGTTCATACTAAGGATCGCAAATGTAATTATAGTTAGAGTTCGATCAATTACAATTCCGAGATACTTAACGAATGGTTTTTCTTCAACTAGTTCGTTTTCAATACTAAAGCGATTTTAACATTATCAGTTTTGCCCGATTTACTGAAAATAATCTACTGTTTTTAAGCATTCTATTTCTGCATATTATTTTACATTTAATATTTCAAGTTTAAGACCAGACGAGCTGATCAGCTGCTCTTGTTTTCTACCCTTTCCAAGGGTGCTTCACTGATTAATAATGCTGTTGTCATGTATATATACCCCCGGATGAATTTACTCTTCCGATTCATTTCTTTTTCTTTGTCTGTTTCTTCATATATTGCAATTATCAAATTCAACACAGAGGAAAAGCTTTGCTTTGCAAACAATTCCGAGAAAACGACAAAAAACAGCTCTATAAAAAGGCAATAAGAAAAAATAGAAACAATCTTCGAATTAACAAAAAATTTGGCTATTGAGATTCGAACTTGCGAACTAGAGATTAAGAGACACACAATTACCACTCAGGCACGGAAGCTTACTAGGCACCAAACACTAGCCACAAATGAAGTAGAGAACAGATGCTATGCAATTTCCAATGCTACAGTGAAATTTCCAAACAAGTGAACACTTTGAATGAGCATTTTCATATGTCACTGAGGTTAGGAAAAGAAAAGAAGTTCGTAATAATACACTAAGCTGATCACAAGTGTTAAAAATTTCAGAAACGCTGATTAAAAAGCTGAAAAATTGACCACATGTGCTTCATATCTGTAAAAGACAACCTAAACTTGTCAGAAATTGATGTCTTTGCCAAAATTTAATGTACAACGACAAACCTATGTGATCAAACCACCTGATGACACTTGATCACACTATAAAACAACACTAACCTATCTCTTCCAGTGTAATCAACCCGTCCGTGGTCCCATGCGTCCGGGGGACTGGGGTCTGAACTATCGGCAGGCCCACTACCTGCAGAAGCCGCCCGTGCCGAGTAGTTTCCAGGCGCTGCACCCACTACTGACGGGAGAGAGAGGACACTTTGGGAGGAGTGGGCATCATCATCTACCAGGTGTTCCTTGACCAGTGGCTCGATGTCCTGTTTGTATACTCGCCACCATTGTTTAAGATAGGGCACTGCAAAATTACACAACAAATAAACACAGCACAGTATCCAAAACATAACTGCAACCTTGTTCTTCGACTTCACCTTGTTCAAACTTCAACTTTCGAATTCCAAAGAAAAAATTGTATGCCTTAAACCTTTTCAAATTTCAAGAACAGTTTTTGATCGACACTTTTTTTTGTAAAATTGAGCCAATTTGAGAAAACTCAAACAATGGGTAATTTTTTTCCTTTTGGCTGGGAAATCTAAAAAATAAAACCCACATTCACAACTAGAAGCAATTCATGTTTTTTTTGAACCTCAAATAGAACTGAACTAAGAAAAATTTTTAAAAAAATCGAAGTCAAACCGCGAAAAATCAAACTTGAGCATGAACCCCCCTTTTTTCCTGTAAAAAAATATAATATTCACAAACTAAATATGTGTCTTCAGTACGCTCATTGACAATTAAGCCCAGTCTGCATAGGTTATTGAAATCACTTTGAAATATCAGGACAGTTATAAGAAAATAGCAATCAGTTGATAGATAAACAAACAAAAAAACGCCAGTACTATTTGTATTTATCATTATACTAGAACCTATTTCTGCAAATAGATGTTTAATTAAGACTCTTGATAACTCTAAGAGCGCTTAAAATTAAGAAAATACGCATATGCCTCAGAAAACGCAATGTTAATTTTTTAAATGCTGCCGCTCGTCACCCTGTTCTGAAAATTATTTCTGAAAAATGTTGCAATCAAAACCAATATTTATACCTAAAGGCGGCCTGAAAACTCATATCAACATATAACTTTATAGTCACGGGACAAAAAACGTTGCGCTTTTTTGTTTTCGTCATGACAAATGAACGAAACTTACTCACGTTCTGTCGTTTTCCTTGCTACTATTTCAGCAACAAGGTCGAAATTCTGACTCATGGTTGACATAGCATGCGAAGTTCACTGAAAAAATCTGAGGGAAAAGTTTTTTAAATGGACGAAATAGCTATTTGTAAGAAGTTCATTTTTTAACTATTCATTAGTTTGTCTCGAATGAAATTCAACCTGAGAGAAAATTCCTAAAAATACATCTTCCATCGTTAAAATTGTCGTCGAGCAAAAATTACAACGGTACACGATTGTCCAAAAAAACGGACTTTACGCAGAGGTGGAGCTGCACTTCGCAAACAAGCGAATGAACGGCATTAAGTAGCTCTTTAAATAGCAAAAAAATGAAATAAGGAAAGAAAAGGCCAAAAATCCGGGTTCAAACAACCGACCTTGATATTACGAGTCTCACGTACTCGTTTCTGCACCATGGTCAGTTGAACTTTAACTAAGAAAAGTCACCAAAAAAGCCGATAGGACATGCTATTAAATTATTAATGCTATGCAGCAAAGTGTCACTAATTGGGCACTTTTAGTTGCTATTTGGGTTAGAAAAAAGTTCGTCATATAACACCACACACACTAGATCGCATGTGTAATAAAGTACAAAATTTACTAGTTAGATTAAGGTTCACGCCAAGACTTTTTCCGACTTACCCTCACCATTTAATTTCAAATACTACACATCCACACTAACTTTGAATGTAAATAGAACCATAAGGCCAAAATATGTATAAATTAAGCATTTCAAAAAAAGGCAGATATATTGAGTTATATACGGAGCTAGATATAGATTATTTTACTTACATCTCGCTATATAAAAACTTTGAAAAATAGCATCTTTTGGTTTGTTTGATGAATGAAAAATGCATCAACTGTGTTAACTTATTACTATTCGAATGTCAAAGCACATGCTATCAAAAAACCGTAAAGGTGCCCCAAAGTGGCACCAATATTTGCGATTTAATTTTCTAAAAAAAATTATCGTACAATTACACTACACAATGAATCTTGGCATGGTTAACAAAGTAAACATTGCCAACTGACAGTTGGAAAAGAGTAATAAACGCAAGTAATTTATAGACTGACAGTTGGAAAAGAGTAATAAACGCAAGTAATTTAACAACTTAAGATTGGCACTTTTTTGATAAAATTAGCCCAACTTGCGCAAACTGGATAAATAGGTAAAGTTTATATTCCGCTGGAAATCTGAAAATTAAATTCCTCTTTCGAAACTAGAAATTTTTTAACGTTTTTTCGCGCCATTTCCACGTTCGTATTTGGAGTGCTATTTACGTAACTTTCAGTAGATGAATATCGATTGAGGTCAAGAAGTGCATATATAGCTAAGTGCATTCATAAATGCATTAATATGCATGAATGCACATCTGTAGTTATTCGTGCATTTTAAAACTTTTTCCTAGAAAAAAATTAAAAAAAACAATCACCAGACCTATACAAAAGTCTTCACAACGTCAATTCTCGTAACAATTGGGAAAAGATTTGGTCTTCATACTTTGCTTCGTAACATTACGAGTTTAGCCATAATAATAGACAAGACATCTCTAAAAGCAGAAAATTTAAAGGCGGGGCAGTGGAGAAGAGCACCCCCGCCCGGAATAGAACTCCTAATCTTTGCCTTCACATGCATGCGCGCTAACTCAGCGGCAAAAGAATGTAAATACATTCTGCGTCATTGAAATTATGAAGGTAGTTGAAACACGCAACCTTCTCACATGCTTATTCTGTGAACAAACTTTTTATAGCAACCGGTTGCAACACCTCTGCTAATCGCAATAAAAACTAGACTAATCAAGACAATTAGCCACATGAAAATTTCAAAAAAATAATCTGCAGGGGTCATTTAGCCAATCTGTCATAAGAGTCAGTCTTTGAAATCAGTCCTTGTGAAATGACTATTACTCACTGCCCAAAAAGACCTTTATAAAAAAAATACTTCATGCAGCCAAGCCAAATGTTTTAACACAGAGGCAGAGCTTCAACTCCGGAAACACAAAAAAAAAGTAAAAAGTCAAAAATTGAAAGGAAAGAAATGGTAAAACTTGATAAAAATCTGCAATGTTCCCGAATCGAAACCACGACTTAGAGATTAAGAGTCACACTTCCTAGCATCTGCGCCATGTACGCTTGACAATATTCAAACATTAGCCACAAATAAATCAGATATAAAAATTTAATACTAAGCAGCAAAAGTGAATCAGATTTAAAGTTATTGTTGCAAAAGTGTGACTTAATAAATGTAGTCTTATTTGCGGCTTGGATTAGAAAAAAGTGAGCTTCACAATATGACACTACGCTCTGCTTGTCAAAAAAGATGGATCAACCACGTGTCAAAATGTTAACTTAATGCGTTAAACCATGTGTCAAAATGCGTTAAATCAGTTGTAGAGAAAAATACAAGAACCTGAATATTCTTTCATTTTCCGATTTAAAACAAAAGAGCTGCAACTTCATTTTACCGTGATTAATTCACAAATGTTCACATGCATTTTTTGACGAGTTTAAAATTTTCACTTTGACTTATATTGAACGTATAAAGTATCTATATAATATAATGGATAGGATAAATGTGCACATAATGTGTATATGCTGCTCTGACTGACTTGTATGTGCGGCTGTGTGTGGGTCGACTGAGTGGTGCAGAGAAACTTCGTCTGTGAGGCTGTTGTAGCTGTGGTCCCATGGCTTCACCGCACTCCCCAGAAAGTGCACTATTTTCACCCCCGCCCCCATCTGAGCGTAGTGGAGGAAGGCCGGCAGATAGGAGTAGGTGGTGGAGGCAGCCATGTTGTACAGGAACGACAGACGACGACTAGAAGCAACAATTGTAGTCAACGCACAAACCAATCACATCAAGCAAGTAGGATAGAGAGAGAGAGAGAGGGGAGAGAGAAAGAGATATGAAATGAAACTAGTTCTACCTATACAATTTCTGATTCACAAAACTTGAAGCAGAGAATGTTCCGACCCCAGTGAAAAAACGAGTTTTTTTAGTTTGTTTTTTTTTCTTTATTTTTTCAGTTTTGCTTGCAGAAAGGACATCTTTAACAAAATAACCTGGAGATTATAGCTGAAATACATTGAAAAGGCTTTCGAATAAGCTAGAATGTTCATCTCTCTCGTTCATTTGTAAGTGTAGGTCTGAAAAAACGGAAAAATTTAGACTAATTTTTCTCCCCACCGAGTCAACCGTTATGAATTTTGTACTTGAATCCGCATCATGACTGATCGGGCGTCTAAAAATGATTCTTTACTTGATATCCTAAAAAAGTTTCCTTGAGGTTCCTGAAATTGGGCGAAAGAAAAACCTACGTCATAGTTCTTTCCAGTCACTTTCAGTGACGTCATCGGAACAGTTAACCTGAAGCAAGGCTCAGCTCCTCTCTCTAAGATAAGCTCTAATCTCCTCTCTTGAATCATAAACCATTTTCAATCATTTGAACCGCTTGCTTGTTAATTCAGACAAACTCTACGAAAACGGGATCAGCCCATTTACTTTTGATTTGCAGTGAAAAATATTTAGTGCCAACTTTGATTCAATTTATCCCAATTTGAAACTGAGAGGAACCGTACTATAAGACCATTGAAAATGGGGAGGACCTTTGTATTCGGGCGTTTTAATTTTTTTCTTTTTGTTTTCCACGCAAAATCAGGTGTTCCACAAAAAATTTTGAAGCCCGTGATTTGAACAATATTTTATAACTTTTAAAAAGTCGTCCTAGTGTGGAGAAAAACCAATTACAAGTTTTTGAGTTTAGAGTCTAATTTTTAGCTGGTAAACCAAGCGAGCAGGCTTTATAGAAAAATAGGCCATAAAAATTTAGTTGAGTAGAAATTTTGCCCATTTTACTATGACTGTCGAATATGCCTAAATTTTATCACATGGTCCTTTATCACATGACTCGCAAAAACAACACTGATTTGAAGAAAAAAAACGTTAAAAAGCGTTTTATGTATTTCAAGATTATGGTCGGAACATGCTGTGCGACTTGCACAGCCACCGGTAATCCTTGTTATATTTATAACTTTAAACATCAACTCGACAGAGAGCAGAATATAAAGTACTTAACTTTCATTGTCTGTAGAGCTTGTACATAAACATTTAAAAACATAGCCCACCTACAGTTGGAAAAACGTCAATGAACGCAAAACAGAAAAAAAAAAATTGTTTTTGGAACAAATCTCAACTTTCGATTTTCAAACAAATTCAAGAGCACTTTATAATTAAAACGGTAAAGGCAGCTCTAAAAAACCAGCATTTGTTATTTTAGGGGGGGGGGGGAATTTAGGGAAACCACAAAGTTATGTTACGGGAAAACGTCTAGTACCCGCTTGCAACACCCTTGCTCATCGCAAGGGTAATTAATTCACATTGATACGAGAGCTTGAAAAAAATTGCAAAACTGTTTGAAAACTATTCAAGAATTACCCTTCCAAAAAGCTTTGCTCATGAAATACTTTCAAGCGGTTACACTTTGAAATAAGAGTTGGTTTGACAGATCCATTTGTTTAAAAACAAAAAATTCAAGCAAGCTATTAAGTGACTCAACTTTGAAACTGTTCAAATTGCTTTGTTATGATGTTGTTTGCCCACTGATTATTGTTTGACAAGCGTTTACATGTACAATGACCTTTTGAATCTCATTTTAGATGTCTGAATTCAAGTTTTTCTGATTTATTATGTTGTTTTTGTAGGCGAAAAGTTTTTCGAAGCACACTATCAAGTGATGAAGTTTTCAAACAATTCAAGTTGTTTTGATAGTTTGAATTGGTTGATAAAAACCTGAAGACAAGAGAAATAAGGTTGTGGTATTTATAACGTTATTAATAGAAATGTAAACAATCACGAACAAGCTCAGACTACAGCTCGACGGGTTGTCTAGCATTGAAGTTCAACCAAGTTGGTCTTGGTTTTGAAACCGATTCCTATTTGTTTTGATGACTATGTATATAAGCTAAAAATTTAATTAACTTTCTACTAGCTATCGAAGATTGTTTTGAGCTATCACTAAAAAGAGAAGTCGAAAATGAGTTTTTGGAAATTGAAAGGGGGTGAGTTTTGTTAAGATCAAAACAAGCTTTTGCATGAAAAAATGTTCCAATATAGGTCTTCATGCTCATTCTAATGAATTCAATTTGCGGTAAATTTTTGCTAATTTGCTTTGAATGAAGGCTATTTAAAACTTAGCGAGTAGGAAAATGCATTTCTTCTCACTTCGCATCAGATGTAGCCCAGGAGCTGAAATACTGGTTGAGCAAGCCCTGATCTGCCCCGTCGAAGCTGCCTTTAGTCACAGCTAGATCTAGGAGTTCTCCAAATGTGCGTGCACTCGGTTCAAACACAAACACTCCGCTGTTGAAGCAATCTGGCCATCCCACATCCGGAGCGGCCGACAGTTCCGGTCGCTCGAACAAGTCATCCACATTTTGAAGAACTGGCTCCCAAAAACACAAAAATGAACTTGAAACCTGCAAAAATAAACTTTCGACATATCGAAAAAAATCTGCACTACCTAAACGTACAAACATGCTACGGAAATGGCGTGGACTCAGTGAAATTTAAAAACGAAATGATTTTATCCAATTTTGTAAATTCGAAACCTTTCTAATTGCACCATATAACGATGAGCAGTGAAAATGAAAAGCTTACTAGTCCCCCACAACCTCAAACAAACAAACAAACAAACAAACACACACACACTTTCTTCACGCGTCAAATGAAACAATATGCAGACACTGTATCGATATAAAATTGGCCGAAACATATTAAGCCGAAAAAAATAATAATAAATTACAAAAAGTCGAAAAGAACTATATTACACCCGTCTCAAATGAAATAACTCCTTTCCATCCATCGATATTTGATCAGATAAACGGTCAACATATCAAGAAAGCAGCCATGAGAACGCATGGATCTCATGGAACGTCTGGCCTTGATCCAAATTAATGGAGGCGCATTTTAACACACTTCGGGCAACAATCAATTGAGATTTCAAAAACAATAGCTGAAATTGCCAAAAAAACTGGCTACTGAAGAACTAAATTCAGAACTAACGGAACCATATAACGCATGTAGATTAATACCCTTAGATAAGAATCCAGGAGTTAAACCCAAAGGCATAGAAGTCATGCGTAGGCTAATAAGACGAACAATAACCAAATGCCTAAAAAACTAACTTATGTCGCTCGGTTCAAACTACCAACTCTATCTAGGACAAAAATGTGGCATTGAATATGCAATCCACATGCTAAGAAATCAATACAGCAAAACCTCCAGCGATGATGTTTTACTGATAGATGCCGAAAACGCTTTCAACTCTTCAAATCGGAAGCTGGCATTGCAAAACATCAAAAATACCTGCCCATCTCGTTTAACAGCGGTTAAAAACTCGAACTACAATCCTTCTAAGCTGTTCGTTAACAGAAAAAAAAACGACTACTCCCAAGAAGGGACAACCCAGGGGGATCCGCTAGCAAGGGCCATGTACGGTCTAGCCATAATACCCCTCAAAAAATTATCAGTAGACAACGTAACCCAGAAATGGTAAGCAGACGACGGAAACGCAGCCGGTAAATAGAGCAATCTACGAACCGTCCTCGATAAAATTGTATCACTAGGTAACTTTTTGGCTACCATGTTGAAGCATCCAAATTCCAACACATTGTCAAAGATGAAAATCTCGGTGAAGCTGAGAAAAAATTCTGGAATTACTATAAAAGCAGGCGACCGAGTGCTTGGTTTTGTTACAGGAAGAGAGTCTGAATGTAAAAAGTTCCTCGAGTTTTAAACGAATTAGCAAATCGAAATTTTGAAAAAACTAACATAAATAGCTAAAACCTCCCCCAAAACGTTTATGCCTGCTAAAGTTCAAGAAAAGCTTTCATTTCTCACCAGGACAACGCTTAACAGTATGGAAAACTAAGAAACATGTGAAAACATTATCAAAGAACAACTAATACCTAACCTAGTCGGTAAAGACACATTGAACCCCCAGTTCCGTGAGATACATTCCTTCTGCCCGCTAAAACTGCATACAAATATCACGAAACGCTGAAGAACTCCAAATATCAGCAAAGAACTTTAAAAGTAGAGCAGAGTAGCTTCTGCCCGCTAATTTTCGCATGCAACGGTGGCGCTGCTCCAACAGCATCGCGGACGATGCAGCGATTAGCCAAAAAACTAAGTGAAAAAAAGATAAGAAAGCTACCCAGAATCGATAAACTACATGAGAACTAAAATAAGCTTCGCGCTCCTGAGGAGCTCTATAGTTTGTATAAGGGCGTGCAGATCGCTGCCCACAGTTAAATTTATCGACAACTCCGTTAGCGCTATTGTAGAGGAAGGACGACTAAGATAAATTAACGTTAAGACGATGCATTTAATGATACAGTTTGCTGATATATATATATATATATATGCATTTTTATAATGCTGTTATGGCCCTATCCAGCTTGTGCACTTACCGTAACTAAACGGAAGTGCCTCTTTTGTAATTTTGTTTTTTATTTCCAATGCTACAGAGAAATTTCAAAGTAAGTTAACACTTTTAATGAACATTATTTAGCGAGTTAGGTTAGAAAAAAGTAGGTTCGTAATAACACACTAAGCTGATCGCAATTGTAAACAAATCGAGTGGAAAAAATCACAACCAACATAAAAAGCAAACTTTGAAAAGGAAGAATATTTAACATAACAAGCTCAACAAAGCTTAAAATTTGCAACCGAGACGAGTAGGATTTGCAAAGAGGACGAAGAGGTGAACGAAACCAGAAGTGAGTCCTGTGGACAAACTTGTTTACGGCAAAAATACTTCTAGCACCCGATTGCAATACCCTTGCTTATCGCAAGATAAATAAGCATCGGAAGATAATGTATTCAGCGATAACGAAGCCGAAAATACCTTGTCAGAAACCGTTTAAGCCGAAAAAAAATTGACAAGACTATAGACTCATGAAAAGTTAATAGGTCTCCTCACGCTCAAAACACTTTATTTGCTCGCTAAATGAAACAATATGGGGCCACTAATTAAAAATAATATAGGCCGAAACCTATTAAGCCCAAAAAAGGGTAAATTAAAAAAAGCCGAGGAAATTAATACTAACAAGAAGTTATTAAGTGTCCTCACCCTCAAACCACAGACACGCACACTTTAACTTTTTTCGCTCGCCGAAAGAATGCAATATGAGGCCATAAGCCGATATAAAATGGGCCACAACCTATCCAGCCGAAAAAACTGTTGTCACGAAAAACTTTCTATAATTTCTATTAAGATTTTTAGTATTTTGTGCGATCCAGGGGTGAGCATTAAAAATATGTTTCCGATGAAACGACACCAAATTAGGTCACTAAGTTGATAAAAAAATAGGCCGAAACTATTTGGGCAGAATAAAGTTTTTAAGCGAAAAAGAAACAAACAGAAAGAAAATATACGAAGTCAAGGTTAGTAAAATTTTAATTAGCAGAGGTAAATCAGAACACTAAAAGCAATTATAATGTAACAAAAACCAAAAAAAAAACAATTCTACAATATGGCAACTAAGCCGACAAAACAAAAGCAGACAATAATACGTCGACATCTTTTTCTTTTGAAACGGACTATTTCCCGTTTGAAAAAAAAACATAACCTGTCAGTTTCGAACCTAGGACTTTTGCCGTCCCAGACTCATTCGTTAACTCCAGACCAAAAAAATGCCGGAGACGCCGAGAAATTTGAATTCAATTCGAAGTGAACTTACATTTACCATTTCTATTTTTCAATATTCTGTGAACAAAGTTGTTTACGGGGAAAAAGTCTAGAACCCGATTGCAATACCTTTGCTTATCCGAAGGATAAAGAGACTAACCCAAAGTGTCTGCATCAAGAAACACACACTTGGAATATTCTAGAAGGTTCCAGCAGTGCATCTTAGTGAAGGTCATTCCCAACTCTGGTCTGGCCATGAGTGCGAGATGCGTGGCATCATGTGAATCCACTGGGTCAACCTGCACAATGCGGTTAAAAACTCTGGCTAGTAACCCGCGGGTAAGAGCAGACACTGATGGGGTGATCACAATGACAAGGTCGCGTGTGGTGTGGCTCCTCTTCAGAGATTGTCCCAATACCATAGCTCCATAAGCATAGCGATCGTTCGTCGCCAAGGTAACAAATGCTTCTTTTCCTAATGACATTTTTGAGTCTGACAAGTCAAGAAATTTGCAAAATATTTCAATGTAAGAAGTATCAGTTCAAAATATTTCTATGACACTTGTTTTAACGTCAAAATTTGTAGAAAAGTCACGAGAAAGATAGAATTATAATTTCAATTTGATATTTGTTAGTTGCAGCAAGTTGTAGCTGTCAAATCAACGATGTTTAATTAGTTTGCCGTTTGAAGAGCGAGATAAGAGAAGAAAAGAAATGATGGTTGGGTTGGGCACACCTTCGTAACAGACTGAATCTGAAATTCATACAAACTCGCAAATAAATAGAAATTTGTTTTATTTAGAAGACAAAAATTCTAGCTTGCAAATAAAATATTAAGAAAAAAATTTATCTGAATTAATTAAAGGTAAAATGGAAAATTAATTTTACTGTTACAAAATTAATGCAACGACTTTTGTATAAAGTAATTAAACGTTTTTTCTTCTTCCAAAATTGCCAAATATATTACGCCACCTACTACTCTCGCGCTAAGTAAATCTCGTTGGGTTGCATTTTTCTTTATAGGTAATCAGATGGTCAAAAGTATCATAGTAACCGAGGTTACAGTCATGAGTCCCTTCATCATGTATTCCAGTCAAAATCCTTGGAACATTCTAGATATGGAAGTGATAATGATGAAAGAAGATGACAAGTGTTGATGTCCTTACAATTAAAATCGATACGGGTTACGTTTCTTGGATTGCATTTAACCAGACAAGACGACATAGGTTTGGTTATCAAATTTGCTTCAGTGGACTAACAAAAAAAAACAAGTTACCACTTATTTGCTAAATAAGATGAAATGATTTTGCTAGTGTGCGTCATGTTGATATACTTTTTTTTACAAAATGCATAATAATTGAACGAAAACGAAATATTGAGGACGTAGTTCAAATATAAATAAAATAATCACAAGGTCAAAAGTATCGTAGTAATTTGAGAAGACATTAAAACTCTAACTTCAAACAAACTTTTTCGCATATTTTTGTGCATCTTCAGGTTTTAAATTCTAAAATTATTTTTTCACAAGTTCACTTCTGGTCTATAGGCTTCGGCCTCTATCGACCAGCTCTTTCGTCGACGTCCATTTCGTCATTCCAAAAACGATGCGTCGTACATTTCGGACGCCCATAGTTTGTCAAGTCTTGCTTTGAATATGTTGACGTTCTCGCTCGATATTATTCTTTCACGCAATGAGTTCCAGTCGTTAATGGCTGCGATAGTGAAGAAGTTTTGTCTTGCTGTTGTTTTGGTTTTCCTCGTTAAAATTTTGTACGGTTTTCCTCGGGTGTCTCTTTCATTGATCGTAAACAGTCCTTCCGTTGCTGCGGCATCGTACATTCCATTCAAAATTTTGAAGACTTCCATCATTCTTCCGCGCTTCCTTCTATACTCCAGCGTTGGCAGTTTCAGAGCTTTCAGTCTTTCCGGGTAACTAAGTTTTTGTATGTTTGCGACCAGTCTTGTCGCCCGCCGTTGAACGTTCTCAATCATAATCTTCTCCTTTTTCAGGTATGGGTTCCAACACTGATTTGCGTGTTCCAGGTGCGTTCTCATTAGGGCTTTATATAGTGTTGCTACTACCTCAGCGTTAAGATAGATGAAGCTTTTCCGTATTATCGCAACCATGCCGTTGGCCAACCTTGTTTCCTTGGCAATGTGCTCACGGAATAGTAGTCTCGAGTCAACTATAATCCCTAAGTCTTTCTCGGTTTGAACATTGTTGAGGTATGTATTCCCATCCAAGGTGTAATTTCGTTCCGCTAGTTTTACCCTTCCCGTTAACGTGAGCGTATGGCATTTTGTCATGTTGAACTTCATAAGGCTACCATCAGCCCATTTCGAAATTACATTCAGATCATTTTGCAGTTCTTCATCTTCACCTAAAGCTGTGACTGATCTGTAGATTTTCGCATCATCTGCGTAGGGGAGCATTTGGGATGTGATTCCATCCCCCATCGAGTTTATATATATTAAGAACAGAATTGGTCCCAGTACAGACCCTCCACTGATGACGGGTGCCCATTCTGAAAAACTTTCGTTGACCACCACTCTTTGTTTTCTTTCTGTTAAGAATGAGGTAATCCATTCGAGAGTTTTTCCTCTGATCCCGTATCTCGAAATTGTGTTTAGTAGTCTTTTGTGGGGTACACTATCAAAGGCTTCTTGGAAGTCAATGTAGATGATATCTACCTCGTTACCTCTGTCCAGTTCTGCTGTCCAGTCGTCAAGTGCTCTCAGTAACTGTAGTGTCGTTGATCGCCCTGGTAAAAACCCGAATTGCTTGTCTGATATGATATTGTCGTTTTCTAAAAATTCAAACAGGTGACGTCTGATGATTTTTTCCATAATTTTACAACAAATGGATGTCAGGCTAATAAGTCTGTAATTGTTAGGATCACTTTTTGCGTCCTTCTTGTGAATTGCTGTTATATTTGCGCATTTCCAATCTTCTGGTATTTCCCCTTTCTCCCAAGAACTTTGCATTAAACCACTCATCATTTCAGCTATTTCGTATCGGGATTCTCGCAATACCCGAGGGTGCACGTTATCTGACCCCATTGATTTCGTAGTGTCTAGCGCATTGAGTTCAATTAGGATTGTCTCTTTCGAGATAAAGAGGTCATCAGATATTTGATTTTCTTGGTAATCCACTACTTCCCAGCTGCCTGGTGTTTCGATCGCGAATACAGAACTGAAAAAGTTGGCAAGAGTATCAGCTTTATCTTTGTCGTTCATGGCCTACTTGTCTGGTCCAATTTTGAGAGCCGGTATTGTTTCGGTTGTTTTAATTTTCTTATTCACGTAGTTCCAGAACTTTTTAGGTTGGTGTTTGATGCTTTTGGATACATCTTCTTCGTTCTTTCGACCACATTGTCGTGTCAATTTCCTGACTTTGTTTCGAGCCGATGTGTAGTTTTCATATTTTATTTGCGACTTCTCTTTCTTGAAATCTTTCCAAGTTTTATGTTTATCTCGAAGTACATCTCTTACTTCGGAGCTCAATGGCAATTTGTGTTGCTTTATCCGGTTTTTCAATTTAGGTATAAATTTCTTGGTGGCAGAATCAAGAGTACTTTTGAATTTATTCCAATTTTGGTCAAGGGTTAGCAAATCTTCGTATATTAGATTATTTTTTAAGTCAGACCTGAGTTCATCGTAGCTTCCTTTATTGTAATTAAGCCTCTCTTTGGAGCGCCTTGTTGTCCAAAGGTTGAATTTTGCTTGTAACAGTGTGTGGTCACCTTTCCCCAGTGGAGAGATGTATTCAATGGAAGATGGTTCTAAGGTTTTATCAGTTAATAGGAGGTCTAGGAGTGACGGTTCATTATGTTTGGTCACGCGTGTTGGTCTGTCAACATGTTGGTCGAGATAAGAATTGACCGCCTCAATGAAATGGTGTTCTTTGCTGTTTTCGTCGTGATTCGTGCTCACATATTTCCAGTCTATATCTCGGAAATTCATGTATCCCAGCACAATGTATCTAGATCGACTTGATCCTATTTTTCTTAAAAAATTGTTGAGGTTGGAGTTGTTTTCGTGAGTTGATGATGGGCTCCGATATGTCTAGGCGATGACAACTTCTTCTCCCTACGTTAAATTCAAGTTAAACACTTGCAGTTCCTCGAATCCAGAGTCATCTTCTATTTCTTTATGTTCGATGTCTTTGCGAATGTAAAGTAGCATGCCTGTGCCTTTTTCATTCGGATTCATGTTTTTGTGTTTTAAGTTGTAGCAATCAAGTTTGAGCCAAATTGGGTTCCATATGTTTACAGAATTCTTAGGTTTAGCTTCTGTAAGAGCAATAACGTGCGGTAACAGTTTTGTTTGATGTATTAGCGTTTGTAACTCTATGAACTTTTCGGGGTTTAGGGTGTCTACATTCCCGAACCAGAGCTCAAAATGTTCGATAAGTCAGCAATAAAAAGAGAAAAAAATAATGGAGATAGCTTGTCTCCTTGAGCTACGCCGACGTTTTGAATAATTTTACTTGACAAAAAACTTCCGTCAACTACCTGTAACGGTTTATTCTGGCATATTGCGTGTAAGGTGCCTAAAATACGTCCTTGGAGACCCAGTTTTTGTAACTTTGCGATGAAAGGTTGCGGTCCACCGAGTCGAATGCTTTCTGATAGTCAACAAAACAAGCATAGCACTTTCCGTGATTGATTAAATCGTCTTGTATACTGGTTTTAAGGTCGTTAAGAGCTGAAACTGTCGGTCTACCTTTTCTAAACCCAAACTGCGTTTGGGTTTAGAAAAGGTAGATTGACAGTTTCAACCCGACAGTTGAAATTGCCTCCCATGATAATAAGATTTTGGTTTGAGCAAAGTTCTAAGCAGTTATCCAAGTCTGTTGTCATGAGATTTAAGTTAGTATTGGGGCAAAAATAAGAAGCAATTAAATGCACATTCAAGTTCCCGAGAGTAACGCCAAGTGTATTTGCTGACTGGAAGAAATTTTTTGCCCTGCATCTCATCTTCTTGTTGACGGAACTAGCAACACCTCCACTTGGGCATCCTCTGGCCAATTTTTCAGCAAGAATGTTGAAAGTAACGAAATTGTTGATATCAAGGTTCTTAATAGAGAAAGTCTCAGTGAGAAATAGTACGTCATAGTCAAGTTCTTGTGAGTTTGTAAAGTCTAGAGTATTTTTTGCGCCTTCGAGATTCCATAAAGCAACTTTCAGTCATGTCCGATCTTTCTCGACTACTTTGCCCGCTCTAATAAAGTACTCATTGTCAGGGTTTTCTTCTCTGATTTTTCTTAGGTCACATCTGAGTGTGTACTGTCGTGCTCTTTCGTCTTTCGTGAGGTCCGGCTGCAGGAAGATATTCTTGTATTTTTCCTTGTCTCTGAGCAGCTTGCTTTTTTGAGAAGATTGTTACGCTCGTCTGCTTATCCGAGGGTTACCAAAAGCATTTGTAATCCATCTTCATTGACTTTACCGATTCTTTTAGTGGTTAAGCCATCCGTAGCAACTGTTTTAGTTTCATGTAAAATATTTTGCACTAGTTCTTTGCCATTCTCTGCGGCCTTAGATCCAGAGATTATGACATTACAAGCCCTCTTTTCTTGTTCTCTCTCTTCTGACTTCAGGTTTTTGAGAATTTTTGAGTTGCTTATTGGCTTAGCTGGAGCAGAGATGCTTTTTGTGTTTTCATGGCTGATCATCTTCTTCAATTCCTCCACTTCTGACTCCAGTGCTTTGACCCTCTTTGCAGTTTTAGATGAACAGAAGCCGCATAGA